AGCTGTCTAGCTCCTCCTCCAGATGAGGACGAATACGAGTTAATTGCTGAGTTGTTAAAAAACAATGACATATTCAAAGATGTACAGGTATATGGAAAAGTTGATCAGTGCCTTCTTTTCAAATGAAAAATTACAGCTTTACAGAATCGCGACACTCAAGTCAGTCTGTACGAAAAGCAAGCAGTCGAGCATCGCGAGTTCATAAAAGAAGCCAGACATGCTCTGCATAACATTCGAAAATTCATCGTGAAGGACTACCCCGCAATAGGAATTCAACGAAAAGGTTCGATCAGTTTTTTCACCAACGATTTCCGAAAGTCTTAATCAGCATCAGATATGCTAACGTGCCATCCTCATCTACCCCACAAAAAAACTGAGCAGCATCAGCATCAGCTCCCTTGAAATGATCTTGGCTTGCATCTTAACTATAGTCTTATGCGTCGTCAGTGATGACAACTGGGTAGCACATCAAGGGTAAACGGGAGGGGGTAATGACAAGTGCACGCCTCCACCCGCACGATCGAATCCCATATCGATAGCCACCCAGGTCAACCGCTGGCCACATCACCAGAGTTGGCTCATTGATAACAGACTTCTCTGGAAAGATTGAAGCATGAATCAGTGAATTGTATGAAGGCCACTGGAGGGAGCCAGTGTAGTGAAAAGTGGCGCACTATCACATTGTATGAGCATGGGTTCGAGCTTCGGCTCGATATCCGCCTAGGCCAACCACGCCTCTCATCCCTCCAGGGTCGGTCAATTGGTACGAGATCCATCTAGGAGGATGATAGACTGACTTGCACATCAGCTGGCCACCGCAAGCCACATACGCATTCAATACGCCACTACGATTCTGAAGGAAGTGGAATACGAGGGTGCATCCCTTAAAAGAGATTGATCAAGACCAAACAACTTTATCCTTTGTCCATTTATGAAAGACCTTGTGTAAGCCATACAAACCCCTACGGCTCTGAATGAATGGATTGTATAGGCACTTTCCACAACGAGAATGACTAGCAGCCAACGCTTCCCTTTCCTTAACCTCAGATGGATGCACTTGAGTAAAGCACATGAACGTAAAGGAAGAGCCACTTCATTGACTACTGTTCGCAGTGACAGCACGTATCGTAAATGGTGGAATATGCCGTAAATGGTGAAAGTTGGTGTTGCATAGTTCAGCAAAAGAGTTGGAGCTTCNCTATAAAGATGATGAGTGAGAAGTGAATGTTTGCAAAAATGATGTGATCCACGTGTAGAGAAAAGGCCTTAAAATAGATTTCCATGTATACCGACAGCTGACACCAACTACCCTACGGACAGCAATGAAGAGGAACATGTAGTCTCAAAACGATTCCGAAAGCGCGGCATAGAGGAGTATTAAAGCGGCTTAGACACTTGAATAAAATAACAATTAATGCCGAAAACCTGTTTAGAGCTGGATGACCGACGCAGAGAAATGGATTTTGCAAAAGCAGAACTTAAATCTGTAAATGATTCAGAATCTATAGAACAGAAGAACAAATCGTATAATGAAGCTGTTAAAGTATACGAAGAGAAACTCAAAGAAGTTGGTGATTGTAAGAATCCACTTCATCTAAAACCACATTTGACTTAGTTACGCACTTATAGGTTGAGAAGCTCATGGAAGAGGTCTTAAAAAAGAAGGAGGTTCATTTAGCGGGAGTAATCGAATGGACCAACCGTGTCAGGCAGTACCATGAAAAAATGTCGAAAATTTTAAAAAGTAGCTGAAGAAATGAGAAGATACTTATATTGGATTGAACATTGTCATCAATATTCATAAAACGCATTACAAGATGTTTGTAATAAATCATTTAGAACCAAAGGAAGTTAGCCAGGCTTACGGTTCGAGTAAGATTTCAAACTACGCTCATCAATATGAACAGCAAATATTCGGATACCTTGTTGAGATTTCGCGATGAGGCTCGTAAATGCTGCTCTCCAAAACTTTCATCAACTCTGAGAGTGTGTTGTCGGTCTGATTCACCAGAGACAAAGGCACTATCTGCAATTTAGTTACTTCACAGAAATAGTGAGAATTACGATCCCAATGCAGACGCTCACATTTTGAGAGCACATCCATGTGAATCAGCCCCTACAGACCATGTTAACCTACTGCTTAACTTTGCAAAAACCCACCGGTGAGCTTTCTAGAATTTTCAAAGCGACAAGAGCTTTTCGTATCCTCTTCATGATTTCAGGAATCTGAAATCCACCAATAATCAAACGGAAATCGAGTGATCCTTCAGAAAATTATTGAAATCGATCTTAGTAAAAATGTGAATGTGAACGTCGAGAAATTTTTAAGAAAAATGACGAATTTTGTAGTTTTCCTTGATAGTCCTTTTACTCAGTCCCCAGTAGAATTCAGGTTCTTCAACGAAAGAAATTTTCCATCCTGCTTATATTAATAGAACTCACATCAGATCTAGCTTATTTTCATTTTTCGAGTTTCATTATTTCAGAATGAGCAAATTTCCCTCGAAACTTCCCGAGCACTCTGGTAGAGAATGTACATCACCTCATCCTTCTTCACCAAATCGATCTTGTTCAGCACTATCACTACTCGGTTTGGACAAAAGATAGAACATAGCAGGAGATGTTCCGAAGTCTGCGGTTGAATACCAGATGATGCATCCACTACCTCAAATTTGAATGGTAAAGACAGCTTTAACATCATCACAGAAGTGCACAAAAGCCAATTTAAACGGCTTTTTTTT